AGTGTTGTATTTTTAATCCTTAGTTATAAACGCAAAATTTTTTATGATTTTTCAACTTCAAAATTACTTGCAAATTTTCGCGTTTTTGACAGATTTCGTAAAATTTTGAACTATAAACGCTTATTAAAAAAATTGTGACATACGATTTTTAATTTTTTTTATCTACAATAAGAACAACTCATAAGGAACCTTCTATTAAATTTTCAAGTTTTTATGGTCATCCATCATTTTTTTACTGACACTTCAAAAAAAAATTCTCAAAAAAATTGAAAATTTCAGTGGTCTATAAATAACTCAAAAAAACTCAAAAATTTTTGAAAATTAAACTGTAAATAGATAACACTAACGTGAACATTCGGTGAATATGTCAAGTGTTTGCAGTGATTAGTTTTTGAATTACAACCATATAAAAAAAATCGATTTGTTCGAAAACTGATTTTGCGTAAAAATTCCTGTTTTTCTATTTTTCTGTCTTTTTTATTTTGTTTTTCTCGATTTTTTTGAAAACTGTTGGAAAATGTTTACTTTTGACCTCTATAATGCACCAAGGATCTTCACTTTTACATCGGAAACCMCCCCCAAAGTTTGAAATCGAAKCATTATTTCGACTAGTTATGCTGTACACAGACACAAAAAAAACACATATCATTGTAAAATCAATACATTCATTACTTCGTTCAGAATCTAAAAAATATATTGTATGCGTATAACGCATTTCATCAAATCATTTATATATATATATATATAATATACAAACAATTATTAACTTCTTTTGTACTTTTTATAAATTATCTACTAAACTAAAATAACACTATAGTCGGTGCTATACACGTTTCAAACGTTTGAAAGAGATAAATATAATATAATAAAATATAATAAAAAATTCAACGACTGCAGATTTTTCCTACTCGCGTAACACGTCGCCTGGTTTTAAAGGTATATGTGTCATATTTTGTGTGTAATAATATATATGTTATTACAGGTCGCTGATTGAATGCGATGAGGTCGTTTTTCTTATTTGCGTACAAAAACTTGCAAGTCGATTAAAAGTAAAGTAAACCGAACAAAGCAAGAAACGCTATATATCGACTATCGATTGAAAGAGAGAAAAAAACATCTGATAAGGAACTATCTCGGAGTCAATGGATGCAAGGGCGTGTGAGTGGAGAGTCGGTGGCTTAATGGAGAGAAACGTACAAGTCGGGGTAGTAGAATGATAGGAAGAAAGATGGGATGGTGAGATAGCTATTAATCAATAGACGGACGTCATTTTGCGGGCCGAGGGGTGTAGTATACTTGCAGGATCGGCTGCAAGCGTCTCGCAGCGATGCTGTAGTAATACGTAAAAATCGAAACCATTTTGATAGACAATTTCTTTTAATCATTTATCTTCTTCAGGTGTGCGTCGCTCGTGCTCTGGGTTTGGCACGTTCGTCTCGTCGACTTCATCCGCTCGGCGGAGGTGCCTATATATCGACATTTCTGCAATACACGACGACGGACGGACGCAGTCAGACTATATGGCGCCGCGTGGAACTGGTAAGACATAATTCGAATTGATTTCGCTCAGCAGCGTACGTGTGATCGGCACGAACGCTTATTGTTGTACCTACGTTTGTATCCGCCATCGGGAATAAGACGATAAAAGATAAGATGAGAGTAATATAAAGTATGTAACGTACATGTCTACTGGGTGTGCTTCTCCTTGTATATAATGCGCATTCCCGTAGCCCGGCAGTCGTAGACTTAAACATAACTGATTTGAATACGCTCAATATGCAACGGAAGCGAATAAGTTGATTTTGTTTGAGTGACTATACAAAATTTTGTTTACTATACGGCGATCACAACGTCAACAATTAAAATTATTTTATTTTTTACTTATATGGAGATATAAGTAAAACTATACCTAACCGATATAAACTCGGATGAAATGATACTAATATATTGAATTTATCACTGGAAAATAGTTGTGTA